CTAAACGCGAGTAACTTTACGCTTCCAGATAAAACTGCTTCACGATTTTTGCGCGAGTGTGAGAATAAGAAGACTTATAAAGAGATTTACTGATATTAAGGCACAATGTATAAACGCGAGCGATATTAACGAGATCAAAATGAATAATAATAAGAAAAAATGCAAGACTAGACAAATATGTTTATCTATGATATCTGTCAAACTGCCGATCGAGGGTTGCCAATAACTAATGAAATTCACATAAGTGTTATACAATTCAAAGTGTTTGCGCAAACTTACATTTGTACTACAACAATTCAGGTATTCACATAGCAAAAAATGAGTAATGTTTGATAATAAATGGATTAATTCATGAATATTTAGTTAAAGTTACAAGATGAGGAATGTGACATAACAAATGCTCTATACGGATATAGTTCTATGATTTAAAGTTTACAAAACTCAATCGGCAGTAGTCGTTTGAACATCGTCGCGGCCCTAGGCGCGCTAAGCGGCTAGTGTCTCTTCCAATTCCTTAAGTGCACTTAGGGCTTCATGAACCAACCGCCGGCTGATCTTCCCTCTTTACGCTGCAGTGCGCAATCCGTGCGTGGTATATTTGACCGCGCGGTTTTCTACACGAGCTGGACGATGACGGTGAGACGCATGATCACTGGTACGACGAGGCGTTGTGTGCCCTTGCGGATTTTTCTGTTTCCGCTGAACTTCCTTCGGGACTGCCTGCGATGCTTTGCGGTTGACTGACTGCGGTACTTTACGGTGGAGTAGCGAGTGATGGCGTAAATCGCAGAATCTGCATCTGGCCACGGAGGTGCACTCGCCGGTAGCGTGCGACAATGCGAGGCAATTCGTGCAGAAGTGATGAGCCCGCGCCAATAAGTATCTTTGTTGCGGCTGCATCCTTTAAAATATGGGACACAAGCGGAGCGGGTGGCGGCGAACACAAACACGGCATTTTTGCTAATCCTCCTGCTGTTGTTTGCGTGTTGCAGAGTCGTTTTCTGCTGCGGCGCTGGGCGTCAATACCACGCTGGATCGCACAAACTTGCGCGGGGCAGGCTGCGGAGCATTGTCAATTTCCATCTGCAAAGAAGCGTTTGCATAAGGTATTAGTGATATGCATGAGAATGGGTGCAGGATTGAGTGTATTTGATTTTGTGATTTTCGTGTTTTAGGGGTTTTTTTTGTTTTATGGGTAAGTGATTCAAGTAGCACACTTGTGTATAAATTGAGGAGCTTACTTTGAGCCGAAGATTAGGGATGGGATACAAAGCGGGCTTAGAGAACCTACTGGAAACGCATCGATGAGTCTAAAAGGTTGCGAATGCTATTTATGATATTTACTCGGTTTCTACAAGAGAACATTGGACATCCGACGAAGGGAGGAAACATAGCTTCACAATCGCTCGAGTGAGGATGCCGGATTGAGTGCGAACGTCAACAACACGAATGTGCCCATCTGAGCCAGGATGCGCCTTCTCAATGCGTCCCAGACGCCATTCGGTTGGAGGTAGCGTGTCGTCATTGATAAGAACACACTCTCCTACCTTTGGTTCAGTTGTAGTGTCCTTCCATCGATATCGCTTATGCAGATCCTTAAGGTAATCCGCCTTCCAGCGTCGGCTGAACTGGTGATGTAGAACCTTAATTTTTTCCCATCGATTTAAGAGGGACAGATTTTCGTGATTCACTTCGGGAAGCGATAGCAACGGCGCTCCCCTTAGAAAGTGCCCAGGAGTGAGGGCCGTAAAATCTGTGGGATCCTGGGAGAATGGCGAGATGTGCCGAGAGTTTAGCACAGCTTCAATCCTTATGAGTAGGGTGGCGAATTCCTCGAACGTAAATTTGTGAGATCCGGCAGTTTTTTTGAGATGCATTTTAAAACTTTTCACTGCGGATTCCCACAAACCGCCCATGTGAGGAGCACTTGGGGGAATAAACTTCCAATCGATGCCTTGTGGGGAGTACTTTGCAATCACACTATTAGACACTTGCTTGAGAAAAGTGGAGAATTCTCGTTCGGTAGCTCGTTTAGCTCCGATAAAGGTCCGGCCGTTATCACTCATCATTCGAGAGGGGTAACCACGACGCCCTATGAAGCGAGCAAACGCGGCGAGAAACGCATCAGTGGTGAGGTCGGAGCACAGCTTAAGGTGAACGGCCTTTGTAGAGAAACATACAAAGACAGTCACATAGCTTTTCACAAGGGTGTGCGATCTTAGCAATGAGGCCTTTATGTTAAAAGGTCCAGCAAAATCGACTCCGGTAATGGTGAAAGGTGAAGCGTATGTGCACCGCTCAGGGGGCAGGGCTGCCATTATTTGCGAACGCATTTGCTGCTTGTGGACAGTACAAGGTTTACATTGGAAAATGCATTTTTTGATGAGCGGTTTGAGCCGGGGGATATAAAATTCCTGCCTAATAACTTGTTGCATGAGACGCGACTCCGCATGCAGAAGTAATTCATGTATGAAGCGAATATACAGAGCAGCAAAGCGAGATTTGTCAGGTATTATGAGTGGATGTCGCTAATTGTAGCTCAATGTGGAATGAGCTAGTCGACCATTGACGCGGAGGAGCTCAGTCTTGTCAAGAAATAAGTTGAGAGTGAGCAGTGAGCTGCGTTTTCCGGGGGGGGGCTTGCTAGCCAGTCTGGGCCATTCCACCAAAGGGACGAAGCTGCCAAGTCAAGAGGTTTGCATCCACTGGTGCCCATGTCAGCGGGGTTGTCTCGACTGCGTACATGCCGCCAAGTGGCGTTTCCGGCCAGATCAATTATTTGCGCGGTACGATTGGAGACAAAGGTCTTCCACATGTGAGGAGGCTTTTCTAGCCAGGCTAACAACAATCTCGGAATCGGACCACAGGATTAATTTCCGCTTAAAGAGGCCGAGATGAGATTGGACCACTGCGACTAGTTTTGCTAGGAGAAGGGCGCCGCATAATTCAAGCCGTGGTAAGCTTGTCGTTCGAAGCGGCGCAACTTTGCCTTTGGCAACCGAAAGGTGAGAAGAGATATTGGGGCCATCCGTGGTTCGAAGATAGATGGTGGCGCAGTACGCCTTTTCGGAAGCATCGCAGAAGCCATGCAATTCGACCTGTTGGTCGGGGATATATCTGACCCATCGAGGTATTTGGATGCCCGAGATTGCTTGGAGGTTGTTTGCAAATTGCATCCATTTTATCAAACGGAGGGGTTTGACCTGGTCATCCCAATCAGTTCCGTCAAGCCATAGCTCTTGTAGGAGTATTTTGGCTTGCATCATTATCGGCGTAAGCCATCCTGCGGGATCAAAAAGTCTCGCGACAGAAGAGAGAATTTGTCGCTTTGTGCTAGCGGATAACGCTGGAATGGAATCAATGGTATACGAGAAGGTATCTGAGAGCGCGTTCCATTGAATTCCTAAAGTTTTTGTGGTGCTTGCTTTCTCAAATTCGAGAAAATGAGTATCAAGCAAATCATCCGCATTGATATTTTTAAAAATTTCAGGATGGTTGGCTGTTATTTTTTTCAGTGGGAAGCCTGCCGAATTGAGAGCTTGAATAACTTGCGAGAGGGATT